TCTGCTCCTCTATTCTGAGATGTAGTAAAGTGAAATATACTTCTTAAAATTTTGTGTAACATCTGAATTGTATATTTAAGTTTTTTTTTTTTTTTTTTCTAATTTCAGTTCTTCAACATCTTCAAATAAAGAAATGGTTTTGAAGAATGGTAAGACTCCAATTGCGCACATGATTCCTTGTGGGATGGGGAAGGACTTTTCCTGTGATAGAATTCCCTGACCAATAGTGTCTGTATCAGGAGGCACTCATGTGAAATCTTTTATACAAGTGTATCCTAAATTATGAGCCAAAGGGGCTCAAGCTTGATATATGTGACAGTGCTTAGCATATTACTGTCACTCAATTCCATTAATAAATAAAGGACACCTAGCATTGGTAATGACATCATTATTTATTTGACAGATCAGAATAATGGAGATATGAAACCAGTCCAGAATTTCGCAACAATACCACTCACACAGGTATGGCTATGTCAGGAAACCAGATTGTAATCATCTCTTAAAAACTTAAAAACATATTTCTTTTCTTTTTTTTTTTTTGAGACGGAGTCTTCCTCTGTCACCAGGCTGGAGTACAGTGGCGCCATCTCATCTCACTGCAACCTCTGCCTTCTGGGTTCAAGCGATTCTCCTGCCTCAGCCTCCCAAGTAGCTGGGCCTATAGGCACACACCACCATGCCCAGCTAATTTTTTTTTTTTTTTGTAGTTTTAGTAAAGATGGAGTTTCACCATCTTGGTCACGCTGGTCTTGAACTTCTGACCTTGTGATCCACTCGCCTTGGCCTCCCAAAGTGCTGAGATTACAGGCATGAGCCACCACGCTCAGCCTTAAAAACATATTTCAATCCTGTCTGTGCTCCTGTGAAAATATAAATAATAATTGTATCAATAATTAACATATTCTTGCTTTAAATTTGGATGGGGAAATGTATTATGACATCTTTTTATTTATTTATTTATTTATTTATGAGACAGTTTCACTCTTGTTGCCCAGGCTGGAGTGCAATGGCATACTCTCGACTCACTGCAACTTCCACCTCCCTGGTTCAAGTGATTCTGATTCTCTTGTTTCAGCCTCCCAAGTAGCTGGAATTATAGGCACCTGCCACTACACCCAGATAATTTTTGGTATTTTTGGTATAGATGGGGCTTCACCATGTTTGCCAGGATGGTCTCGAACTTCTGACTTCAGGTGATCCTTCCGCCTTGGCCTCCCAAAGTGCCGGGATTACAGGCATGATCCCAGCCTGTAATCCCACCATGCCTGGCCTGGAATCTTTTCTTTTTAAAAGTCAATTTTTATTTTGGATACAGTGGGTCCTTGTGCAGATTTGTTATGTGGGAATAGTGCATGCGGGGCTTTGGGGTATGAATCCCATCACCCTGATGGTGAGCATAGTACCTGATAGGCAGTTTTCTAACCTATCCACTCCCTCCACCCTCCAGTGGTCGAGTGTCGATGGTTTGCATATTTATGTCCATGTGTACTCAATGGTTAGCTCCCACTTATAAGTGAGAACATGTGGTATTTGGTTTTCTGTTTCTTATGGAATCTTATAGTTGAGAAAAACCCAAAATGCTTAATTTCACTTGCTCTCTTATATTTTTATTACAATATTCAGCTTCATTTTTGTTGCTATAATAATAATCTTTGGTTACTGATAAGCTTGATTTGCTTCTCTCTATTAACTTTTCTTTTATCTGTATTTACACTAGAGTAATTGGTATTAATTTATTTCTTTGTATTGTACATTTTACGGGTTTTGATAAAGGTATAATGACATGCATTTACCATTACAGGATGTGAATTAGCTCTTTCACTTCTAAGAAGCCTTTTGTGCCATAGACACGAATTCATGTCTAACATTCTTTTTATTTGGTTAATTAGGCTTTCAACTACAATCTGAGCAAAGAAGGGCATTTAGAAAAAGAACCTTGGAATGCATTCAGCCATCATGGCCCAGTTAACGTCTCCATCGATGGAATGCCTTGCATTCTCTTCTGGGCCAAAAGAATCACGATTAAATTTAAGAATCAAACCTGGCTGGACCTTACAGGCGAGGCATTTGGTCAGAAGGCAACAGTGGACCCTGACAACTCAAATTGCAGTGAAGAAAGTGCTAGGTAAGTTGATCTCTCAGTTTGAGGAAGCCCTTAGTGCTACTGCCTTTTGTTAACTGCATTCAGTTTTTTTGTCATTTCAGAAAAAACAAAAAGTATGTTCCGTTGTATAGGACCCACACATCTTTGGGGAAGTATTTACTGTCTAACATGAAGGAACAAGTCAGAAGTTAACTTTAAAAATTGTTATATTTTCTAAGCAGTTTTCTTCTGAACCTTTTTTGCTAATTGTCAGAATAATTTGTAGAAAATGAGAGTTAGGAAAAGGAGGGTTCTCAAACTCATTCTGAAAACTACAAAAGATTCCAGGCTTGTTCTTACCAAATGTTAGGTGTCAAACTACTTTTATCCTATCAGGGAAGAGATCGCATATCCCAGCAGGGTCCTATGCATTCTAGTGGGTGGCACACTAGCTAGGACAAATGCTTGACCCTGCGGGGGGCAGAAGGGGGTCAGTGTGCTGAAGTAGTGGAATGTTGCCTGTTTGCAAATGTGCAAGGGTACTTTTCAATGGCTAAATTCCAGAGAATTCTTTAGGATATTTCAAAATGATTGGAATAATTAGTTTTGATTTGAGATAAGCAGATTAAACAAATAACATGTTTGAAGGGCAAATCAATTTCCAATGCCTTTCTCTGCTTTTCAGTCATCCAAGCAAAAATTTTTGCTTTTATTTATTTTGGTCCAGGGAGAGGAAATCTGGCATGTCCCACTTGCTTTCTATAAACTTTCTTTTCAACATTTGTTGGTAAAATAGATGCTTTTGGAAGATTTTCTGCATTTGTTCTGGTCTGGTTTAGATGGGTAGGATGCTTTATATTAAGCATAACTGTGTGTCTGTATGTGTGTGTGTGTGTGTGTGTGTGTGTGTGTGTGTGTGTGTGAGTTTCCACTTTATGTACTTTGGCTGGAAACATCCTTTTATTTCTAAACTTTACTTCTCACTTAAAAATTCTTGGCAATGGGCAAAAATGAATTCTATTAATATACAATTTAAAGTCATATTACAAATCTTAGTATCTTGCTGTTCCGAATGACTGTCTTTTAATAGGGATTTAGGGAATTATAAGCGGAAGCATCTATAGTCCTCTCAGATTTGTTTATACTGTTATTATAGCACAACTATCCAAGACTTTCAGAGAGGCTCCTGCACGCTGAGAGCTCAGGACCTTTTCCTGGGGTGCTAATTAATTCCCCACAGGGCTCTTTATTTGTGGTCAGTTGCATGGAGAGAGGCTGACTGCTTGGGGATAATCTTGCCCATCTATGGCTGACTGGCCCTCCTTGATTCCATTTATCCTGACCCTAGGACATTTGCGGGGGAAAATCAGGGTTCTACAGCTTTTTTTTTATTTTTTATTTCTGGGTTTTAGAGACCTTGTGATTACTGGGAACCTAGAGACAGAAAGAATGAAAACTTGGCTTCTAGGCCCAGTTCTACCAGTGAGCTTTGTGACTTTACAAGCAGGACCTGTGGGATCATCATCTGTCAAATGGAGCTGATGGCATCTATTCATTATAGCTATAAGGCCTTGAGCACTCACTATGGGCCAGGCACTGTGCCAGGCTTCACAGGCCCATACCTGTTATCCCTCACAGTAACTTTTGGAGGCACAGGCAGTTCTCATCCCTTTTCCTGGTGTTCCAGGAAATCAAAGCTCACAGAGGTTGGAAAACTTGCTAAGGTCATGGAGCATGTATGTTTAACAGAGCTGAAGTTTAAAATGTCTTTTAAAATGACAATTTATCTCCTTTCTCTTGGCCCTATTCTTAAGATTGTGAAAAACACATGAGGAAATATATGCATAAGCATTTTGAGATCTTGTCGAGTGCTATTCAAAGCATTAATAGTAGTAGCATTCTTTTCCTTCCTGACATCCCAGTGATAACTAGAGTGAAATGGTGTCTAATTTCTTCAGTAAGCTTTGGGTCCTGCAGGACACAAATTTAACAATTGGGTAGGACCTGACTGTCTTTTTGGTCACTGCCTTAGAATTCTATTCAGGTGTGAGCCCTGAGTGTGCAGCGTTCACCTGCTGGAGTCCTGCGCAGGTGAATATGCAGGCATCCTGGACAGCTTGCCCAAAGAGGAGAAACAGGAGGCTTCTGGGAAGGAGGTGTCAAGAACCAGATGCCGAGACCTAGTGTCTGATTCCTGTGAATTGCGTGGATGAGAGAGGCATTCTTGCGGTGCTGGCAAGGAAATCTTAAGATCTTAAGAAGCAGAATGGAAGTTGCTGAAGTAACAAACAGAAACAAAGACATAACCATGTAAGGTCAAAAGCACGGATTAAAAAAAGATGACCATGTTTTAGCTCTTGGAAACAAAATGTTCAGAGAGAGGCAAATTGTTGGCAGATGGATTTGCTATGGAAGTCTTTTTAAATAGTGAAAGCCCTACAAATAGAACATAATCCCAGCATCTGTGTGTATTTGGAATTTAGGCAATTATAGCCTGAATAATTCAGAATCCATTTTACATGTGTGAGAGTAGGGTGCTTGAAAGAGTAAAAGAACTCCTTTATGAGCAACTCTTGTTCCAGGTTGTGTTTCTCCTTTGTATTCCCAATTGGTGGCACAGTGCCTGGTACTTAAAAGATCCTCATGGCCAAGCATAGTGGCTCACACCTGTAATCCCAGTATTTTGGGAGATAGGCAGATCTCCTGAGGTCAGGAGTTAGAGACCAGCCAGGCCAACATGGCAAAACCCTGTCTTTACTAAAAATTAAAAAATTAGCCTGGCGTGGGGGTGCATGCCTGTAGTCCCAGCTACTCATGAGGCTGAGGTAGGAGGATCGTTTGAGCCTGGGAGGTGGAGGTTGCAGTGAGTGGAGATTGTGCCACTGGCCCTGAGCCTGGGTGGCCGAACAAGACCCTGTCTCAAAAAAACCAAAACCAAAAACAAAGCCAAAAAAAAAAAAAAAACACAATCTGCCCCAAAGTTTCTGTGTGTTCTTTGTAATCCATCTTTCCAACCACTCCCACATCCCCAGATAACCACTGATCTGCTATCATATCAATTAGTTTGCATGTTCTAGAATTGTATATAAATATCCTCACATGTGTGCACTATTTTTTAGTGTAGCCACTGTCACTTAGCTTAATGATTTTGATAATCTTCTACGTTATTGCATGTGTCAATGGTATTTCCCTTTTCATTGCTGAGTAGTAGTCCATTGTATTGATGTACCGCAACTTACTTATCCATTCACCTGTTGATAGAAATTTGTTTTTCCCTCACTTTTTGTATAACTTTCCAAATAAAATCACTATGAATATTCATGTATGAGTCTTTGTGGCAGCAGGTGTTTTCATTTCTCTTAGATGTCATTCCAACTAGGAGTAGAATGCCTGGATCATATGGTATGTGTATGTTTACCCTTTTAGAAAACAGCCAAACTGTTTTTTAAAGTGGCTGCATCATTTTTCCTTTTCTCCAGCATTGTATGAGAGTTCCAGTTACTTCACATTCTCACTAATAATTTGAATGGTCAGAGTGAGACTAGAGAAAGCATTTTTGTATTTCTGCATGTTTAGGAATTTCTGAACAATTTTTTTTTTACTGGGAACTGGGTTAAAAGATAAGTGTTAGAGTTAGTGACAGATTTACCTCTTGAAAGGAAAGTGTTCATGTATCAAGTGGTAATGAAACTCAAGGTCATAGAGACATTTGAGGGGTTAGAAACTCAGGAGGCTTATCTTATCCTCCCTTCGGAGACATGTATTTACATACCATGGGTATGAGACCTGCAGCCATTTGTCTCCCTTATGGTGAGCTATTTGCTTCCATCCAAAGGCTAATTAAATTCTTCCATCCAAAGACTAATCATCCCTATTCTCTTCCTAAGGAGAATTTTCTGACACTAGGAGAGCAAATGTTTCTCTCCCTCTCTTGGGAGGTGAGAAGGGAACCACTGTCTCTCTCCTATATAAACTCCCAGATTCATAATTTTGGTGTTCCTCGTCTGTATTATAAATCCCTGCATGTGTAGGATGGCATCTGGCTCTTCTCATGCTCCCTAGAAGGGGAGAATTGGATTAGAAGGGGGAACCAATATGGTTGTTCCCGTGAGTAAGTCAATTCATCTGTCTTTGCTCTGGGAAATCTTATGTTTACTCTCAGGAAAATAGGAATAAATGTAGGTATTAAAAGCTTAAGAATCACTTGAAAAAATGTTTTAACCATTCTGATTCCTGTACCCTGTTATCTTTATTGTGTTTTGATTTTACGTTTTCCAAACGTCTAATGATCCTGAGCATCTTTTCATGTACTTATCGACCATTTGTATATCTTTCTTTAAAACATGCTTGAGTCTTCTGACAATTTTTATGATTTTTATGTTGGGCTATCTTTTCATGAAGTTGTTAGAGTTATTTATTGTATTCTGGATAAAGTTCTTTATGTATACGTGTTGTGAGTATTTTCTCCTGTTCTGTGGTTGCCTTTCTTGTTTCCTTATACAGTGTCTTTTGAAGAGCATAAGTTTTTGATTTTAATAAAATGCAATTTATCAGTTGTTTCTTTTATTGTTTATGCATTTGTATTTTTTTCAGGAAACCACTGCCTACCTCAAGATTAAAAAAATGTTCATCTATGCATTTTGTAGTTTTAGGTGTTATGTGATCTACCTTGAGGTAACTTTTGAGTAGATATGAAGTTAGGATCATTCTTATTTTCATAGGCTGCGTTGTTTTTTGTTTTCCTTAGGTTGTCTTTGAAGCTTGGTGATGCTGAAAACCCCAGAAGTCTTGCTATAAGGTAGGCAGGACACCAGTTGGATAATTGCAGTTTCAGCCCTTCAGATTAGCTCTATAGAATTTATTCATTCCACATGAGTGAAGCAAGGGCTTGCTATATGCCCAAGCACTGTGACACATCACATGCCACATCAACCTAATTACACTGAAAAGTTGGTGCTGTGATATGATGGGACCCTATAGTAATGCTTTCTTTCTAAAAGTTTCTACCAAAATACCCATAGTTCTTCCCTCTCCCCCAACCCGCATGCTGCCTGCATTAGGGACTTAGAGCTAATTCCCAAACCTGAGAATGTAATATCCTTTTCCTCTGAGAAAAGAATAACATATAAATAAAGCTCTCAGGGCTGGGGCTCTGGTTTGAAATTATTTTCTATAGCTTCTTATAATGAACTGCACTTACCATTTAACTACAATGAAAAAGCCTCGTTACTTGTATTCCTCAGCAGACAATCAACAGAGGCCTATAGTTTTTTGGTGTTTAGGTATGAAAGGATTCATGTGCCAACAGTGGCTTTAGCCAGGCAGTTAGGAACTCCTGAGGTGGAGGGAACAATTTGAAGGCATTAATTTTTTTTTCTTATAAATATCCAGTGCTTCCCTTCCTATAAGACAAATGGACAAATTCGTTAGTGGAGATAAGTAGTTGTGTCTTTAACATTATTTGGAAGACCAGCAGGACTGTGCTAGGCAGTCTTTCTTAAGCTTTGCTCTATGGGACACCTCTGCTTTGGGAAAATATAAGATTTTACAAAAAGGGGGTTCTGCGGTCAAATGTGTCTGGGAATGACTATAACCCATGTCTGCTTGTTGGCAATTCACAGTGTAAATTTGTATGTTAAAGTTTCTGAGAAGACATAATCTAGAAGACTATTGTACTTTGTAACTTTGACTAACTCAGTGCTTCCTGTGTTTAACTTTGGAAAGCCTTCTTCCTCAGAACACTTGTCTACATACCTTGGGACACTAGTGTTTCACTGATCATAATTTAGAAAATATATGCCATTATCTTTCAGAGCAACTTTGCAAGTAAATAGAATCCCACAAGGTTAACAAACACATATCTGTTTGATCTAGAAATGGAGAATATTTTTGATCTGGAATTGCACTTTTTTCCAAAATGAAAAATAGCTTTGTTGTTATTATTTAGTCTGATAATAAGGTATGTAGCAATACCCCATTAATACCTACGTGGCCCTTTCCAATTGAGACCACTGTAGCCTACCTGCTGAACTTTCACCTCCCAGCCTCTCTTTGGCTAAAAACTTTCTCCGGCCCATTGCCCCCAGTCCCTAGCCCAGCAACCTGCTTCAACCAGTGGCTGAAGGAAACATACACACACATCAGCTCCTTCCCTCCCCGTCGGGTCAGGTAACTCAGCAGCATGTACTGTACTCTGGTGCCCAGGTTTCATGATGGCCACAAAGCCCTGCTTGTCCACGTTGGAAACTTGCTTAATAATGTGCCTCTTTTAGCTGCCTTCCCTTCCTCTGTCATTTCTTTTCTTTCCATTTTACATATTTTGAATGGCTAAACTCCTTCAAATATTTCTTATATTCACACCCTTGTCTCAGGGTCTGCTTGCAAAGGAGCCAAACAGAGACAAGAAAAACTAATGAAAACAGAAAAATGAGAAGATATTGAGCTACAGAAAGAAGAAAATGAAAATCATCAATAATCTAAACACCATTTGCAAACACTAATGTTCTGATCTCTATCCTTCCAGATATTTTTTTCTATGCAGTCACATATTTTTTTTAAAAACTGAAGTAAAAATGATAGTGACAAGTAAATTATGACTTTTTCATGGCTGGAGACAGTCTATTCCAAAATAGTTAAGATTGGATTTGAAGGCCAGCTCTGACACTTACTCTCCAAGTGAGCTTATTCAAGCCCTTTGTGTCTTAAATTCCTCGGCTGTGAAATTAGGACAAGGGCATTATCGCATGGTATTGTAGTGACAAATACAATACACATACACAACACTGAAGCTATTAAGAGAGCTGTTACTATTATTTTAAACCACAGTTTAGCAAATTCTTCATGGATGCCCATTTTTCTCAAAAATTTTCAATAGTAAACACATAATCAAGTGTTGATTTTAAAAAAGGAAAAACAAAACCAAATAAACCCAAACCCTGTGTGTTTTTTCTTTGGTAGGAATGTGTACTGTCCCCTTTGGGGGCGGGGCCCTTGGCTCTTACCCAGCCGTCCATCCAGGGGAGGCTGCGGCAAAAGTGAAGCCTCTCCCCAAGCCCATTCTGCCGCCTGACAAAAGAGGGCGCCATTGTACTGTTCATAGACAATACCTTGCGTCAGCAAATGTGGGAAAAGTGCTTTGCGAGTAATGCTGTTTTATAACCATTTTCAGATTCATCCTTACCAATTACAACAAGTTGTCCATCCAGAGTTGGTTTAGTTTGCGCCAAGTCGAGATCGTTTCCAACAATTCAATCCAAGCGGTCTTTAACCCAGCTGGCATATATGCTCCGTCCGGTTACTCCTACCGCTGCCAACGCGTGGGCAGCCTGCAGCGGGACCATGCCCTCTTGCTGCCCAGCGACACGGATGATGGGTCGAGCCTGTGGGAGGTCACTTTTATTGATTTCCAGGTAATGAAACCTATGCTCAATGCACCTGCGTTTTTGACCAAAGGAACTCAATGTTTGTTTAAAACACCTGAAACAAACCTAGATGCTTACGGAGAAGAGAAGTAGATATCTTTAAAATAATATTGGTTTTTCTTTCCCTTTGTCTTTTAAGGTAAGAAATGAAATAGGATAGAGAATTTTCTCTCCTTATGGCTCCCACCTCCTACCCAGGGCTTGCTTTTACTTCTAGGTTTATACAGCACGAATAATTATCAGTGAGAAATGCCAGCCATCTAAGTCCTAGTGAAGCTGCGGGTGAAGCCAGTGACTGACATTTCCTGGACTGAGAGGCCCTTCTGGGGAGAGGCATTGTCGGACAATTATTTTATTTCCTTTAGGGAGTGGTGCAGTGATCCTAACAGGGAAGATAAGATGTACATTTGCAGTGTGAGTGACAGCTTTGGCAGTTAGTAGGAAGGGACTCAGCCAGGGAGTCAAAAATATCCCAAAGATCTTGAAGGTATTTGGGGAAAGGAATGGGGTGTAAGAGATTCCTTTTCACCACCAGAATCTCAGGCTGAGAGACATCTGTCAAGTTCCTCTATCCTGTTTACCTGTGAATGAAGCTCAGCTTGTTCCTACCACTCACCAAAATAGTAGGCAGGGCTTTGCATGTATCTTTCATGGGCACATTCCAACCTTTTCCAGATATAAATGGCCATTCCGCATATATGCATATTCTTCCCTTCCATCCTTCCCAAACTTGGAGAAGTGTGGTGTTGATGAGAGGCAGTGTGGGGTAGGGAAGGAGCCTGCATTTTGGAGTCAGGCAGACCCGGTTTCAAATTACTCCTCAGCCACCAGGGCAAGTTACTTAATCTGTCTCACTTTCACACCTATCTTTATTAAGGTAAAGAATACATGGCCTAATACATGTGGAAACACTCAGGAGTGTGCAGGCGTGGACTAACAATCATTGCTACCTGTGAGCACCCGTGTGTGTTGGTGCTGCTCTTGTTATTTTATGTACTTTGTCTTCAGAACTTACCATAATGCTGCAAGATCGTTTTACAAATGAGGTAACTGAATCTCTGATAATCACATAATCTTTCTAAGGAATATAACTGGTAAATGGTAGAGGTAGAACTCAAATTCTGGACAGTTTGGTTCCAAGGGTTCCTTGGTGTGTGGTTGTGTGTGTATATGAAGTTTATAGATATTATTAATATATATTGTGTAGGTATATGTCTCTCTCTATATATATATGCGTGTGTGTATATATACATATACAGAAATGGCAGTGAGGAGATAAGGACAACAAGGAATATTTTACAAATAATTTTGCCTAATTAGACCAGGGGAATTGATTGATTTATACCTTTACCTTGTTCTAGAAATAACTTGTGACTTATGGAAATACTGCTGATGAAAAATTACTTTAAAATATGAACAAATCACTTCACATCCATTAGGATGGCTATAACGATAAACAACAACAAACAAACAGAAAATAACAAGTGTTGGCAAGGATGGGGGGAAGCTGGGACCCTTGTGCATTGCTGTTGGGAATGTGAAATGGTGTCGATGCTGCGGCAAACAGTATGGAGTTACCTCAAGAAGTTAAACATATAATTACCAAGGGCTCCAGCAGCACTACTTCTGGGTATATACCCCAAATAATTGAAAGCAGGGACGTGAAAAGCTTTCACCTATGTTTATACCTATGTTCATAGCAGCATTCTTCACAATAATTAAAAGGTGCAAGCAACCCAAATGTCTATCAATGGATGAATGGATCAACAAAACCTAGGGTATATGTACAATGGAATATTATTCAGCATTAAAATGAAGAAAATTTGGAGGCTGGGCATGGTGGCTCATGTCTTTAATCCCAGCACTTAGGGAGGCTGAGGCAGGAGGATCACTCTTGAGCCCAGGAGTTTGAGACCAGCCTAGGCAACACAGTGAGACCCCCATCTCTGCTAACAATTAAAAAAAAAATTAGCTGGGGCATAGTGGTGTCACCTGTAGTCCCAGCTACTTGGGAGGCTGAGGTGGGAAGATTGCTTGAGCGCAGGAGATCGAGGCTGCAGTGAGCCAAGATTGTACCACTGCACTCCAGCCTGGGTGACAGATGTCTCAAATAAATAAATAAATAAATAAATTTAAAAAGAGGAAGGAAATTTGGATACATGCTACAGCATGAATGAACATTGAAGTCATAATGCTAAGTGGAATAAGCCAGCCACAAAAGGACAAATGTTGCATGATTTCATTTATATGAAATACTTACAGTGGTCAAACCCCGAGGTGGAAAGTAGAATAGTAGGGGTCAGGGACTGAAGGGCGGAGGGAATGTGCAGGTAATGTTTAATGGGTGCAGGATTTCAGTATTGCAAGACGTGAAAGAGTTCTAGAGATAGATGGCGCCTATGGTCACACAACAATGTGGATGTGCTTAATAGCACTGCCCTGTATACACTTAACACGGTTTAATGGTGAATTTTATGTCATATATATATATATATATATATATATTTTTTTTTTTTTTTTGAGACAGAGTTTTGCTCTTGCTGCCCAGGCTGGAGTGCAATGGCACAATTTCAGCTCACTGCAACCTCCTCTTCCCAGGTTCAAGTTGTTCTCCTGGCCCAGCCTCCTGAATAGCTGGGATTACTGGCACCCAGCACCGCACCTAAGTTTTTGTGTTTTTAGTAGAGACAGGGTTTCTCCATGTTGGCCAGGCTGGTCTCAAACTCCTGACCTCAGGTGATCCACCTGCCTCGGCCTCCCAAAGTGTTGGGATTACAGGCATGAGCCACTGCGCCCAGCTCTCTCTATATTTTGTAACAAAAAGTTAAAACAAAAAATTTAGCAAAGACATGGGGGTGAAGAAACACAAAGGAAGAAAAGTCAGTTAGAGTCACCAATGAGGTTAGGGCACAAAACCACTAGACCAACCTGTCTGCACTGGTTTTTTGGTGGCACAGTAATTTGGCTTTGATGTTCTGGAGCAGTTAGTATGTGAAACACTCAGTTACAATTTCACTTGTTCCTAAGACTACAGTGAATGTGCTTAGGATGAACACATTCATCCATGGTGTTGTGAGATGTATACATCCTCATCATCATTCTTACCATAAACACAGTTTCAGGGGGACAGGTGGGCCCTGTTGAAACCCCTTTTGTGTGCAGAAATGGCAGAAGGCAAGCTGAGTCCAGGGGAGAGGAGGTGGTGGTGATGGTGGCTGAGATTTGTGTACAGAGGGCTGCTGTCCACATGTGCAGCTTTGCTGGCCTGGCTTACGGTGGGAATAGAGTATAGAGCGATATGGCCTGTGCGGCAAACTCAAGTACCTTGGGCAACTGGCGAAGTGGCTGGGACTGTGGCAAAGGGTAGCCTTCATCACAATGAGCATTTTACAGATTCAACTGCAGCTGATTTTTGCTTTGTAGGAATGCAGGGCTGGTGTTGCTGGGTCTTTTCAATAGAAGCTAGAATGGTTGATTCTCACAGGAAATTTTTAGGATATTCTGAGCACTGGGTCAAACAAAACTCACCTGTGGGCTAGAAACAGCGTGTCTGTATAACCTCTAGTCCAGGAAATGGTGGACAATATATCCTTCATGCATTCTCCACACTTACTGTTCTCAGCCAAGTCTTGTTAATTATTAAGTGGCTGGGCATGGTCGCGCATGCCTGTAATCCCAGCACTTTGGGAGGCCAAGACAGGTAGATCACCTGAGGTCAGGAGTTCGAGACTAGCCTGGTTAACATGGCAAAAACCCCATCTCTACTGAAAATACAAAAAATTAGCTAGGCATGATGGTGAGCACCTTTAATCCCAGCTACTTGGGAAACTGAGGCAGGAGAATTGCTTGAACCTGGGAGATGGAGGTTGCAGTGAGCCAAAATCATGCCATTGCACTCCAGCCTGGGCGATAAGAGCAAAACTCCATCTCAAGAAAAAAAAAAAAAATGATGTGGCAGTCAACCTGAGGGCATTCTCCTGGGCTGAAGTTACAGAATCAAGTGAGGTCCTCATTTGTCATGGAGGAGCTCGACTCTTCAGGCTCCAGTCTGAAGAGAAGGTCACTCTGCCTCTTCACAGGAGGGGCAGGGCAGGGATCCCTGAAGCCAGGATGAATCTCCTTCAGAAGCTGCTTTGGGTTCAATGGTGAGCACAGACAGTTGGGTGAGCTAGTCCCCTTGTGTCTATGGAGTGATTGGTGGCCTTGATAATTTTAGCACAGGACAATGCTAAAGTGCTCACTTAAGCCATCAAAGTGAATTTTCAGTAAAGCATTCATGGATAGTTCAGTTTTCTGATGTACTCTTTGAAAACCGAGTAGGTGTCTGAATGAGGCAATGCTGTGTAGGTCATACTTTTAAAGCCAGCTAAACAGGGGGCTGTCTTCCACATTTTAAAATAATTTCTCTATAGTCCTGTTTCATTTTGATAGTGCCAGTTAGATATCAGTGCTAGTTCTCTATTTGAACCTCTCTTCCTTCCGGGTAATTATACCATTTCATCTGCCCAAAATGGAAAGCTTTCCTTTCTGTTTGGTTGGTGCAAAAGTGATTGCAGTTTGTGCCATTAAAAGTAATGGGTAGGGTGCAAGGAGGAGCTGGTATCCACCTCGTCCAGAAGTGGGACAGAGTCTGTATGATAAAATCAATAAAGAGAGAGAGGGTAGGGAGGAGGCAGAGACAGAACCCACCAGGAGCTGTGGAGTATGAGTTTGATGCACACTGCTCGGATTTCAATTATACCATCACAATATTTACTGTTGTGTGACTCTGGGCAAGTTACTTAATTTATCTGTGCCTCAGTTTCCCCATCCATAAAGTAGGAATAAAATAGTAACTTACTCATAGGCTCTTTGCATACTAAACAAATTAAGGCAGTATATGGTACACAAAAACCTTCAATAAATGTTAGCTTTTATGATTATTATTTATGTTTTACCTCATTGAGGATCATGACACCCCCCCTTCAAAGACTCTTCCTAATTCCTGTCAGTCAATAGAATCAAAGGCAGAGGAACAGAGACGTAAAATCTTTGTGAAACTTATACTAACCGTGTAAAATTTTGAATGTGCTTTGAATTGTAGAGCTACCACAGCAGTTGCGGTTTTTACATGAACTAGAGTATTTCTAAGGATCAGATTAAAAGAGGTTTTATTTCAGAGTCTTGAAATCAAGGTTTTATTTCAGAGTCTTGAATTTCATGAGCCCCCTAGTTATGACAACCATACATCCCAGGATTTCTGGGTCAGTCCTGATTTAAGGTTAAGTTGCACTGTCCCCATTAGCACAATCACATTTGTCAAATCATGTGGTTAAATTATTCAGCAAATATAGCGACAGTATATTAAATTTGGCTACCTAGGGGCCAGAACTGCCAGCCCAAATGGGAGGTAGATCCTAGGAGACAAGGGATGTATCACTTCAGCTCCTTCCTTTCTCCTGCAGATCCAAGGTTTTGCCATTAAGGGGGGACGATTTACCAAGGCCCGAGACTGCGCCTCCTCCTCCTCACCTGCTATTCTGATCGGCCTGGCAACATCCCTGATCCTGCTGCTGGTGTTGGCCTATGCCCTGAACATGCTCATCTACCTGCGGTATCTCGACCGGCACTATGATCTCATTGCCTCTCCTGCCCACTTCCCACAGCTGAAAGCTCGAGACACCGCCAAAGATAAGGAACTGCTGAGGAGCCAGGAGGCTGAATGCTATGAACTGAGAAGGCAGCAGCTCAGCAAAACATATGCTTAGCAGCACAGGCTGCCCCTACCACATCCACAGTGGGCTCCGAAAATGGTTTCTGTTCTGTGCTATTTGACTTGTGAATTAAAGATTTTCACCAAATGTCTTGATTACAAAAACAAACAAACAAAAAATAAAAAGGAAATACACAATGAATTCTTTTTGAGCCATACTCTGGCCTACTTAGGTAGACTTGGGCCAATGAAAAAGGCCTCTCAGGGGTTCCACAGAGACAAATATGGCTGTTAGTTGCCTCAAAGTACCCCAAAAGCAAAGGAGTATTTCAAGTAGGGAAATAGAAGAAAGAAAGAGAAAGAAAGAAAGAAAAAGAAAGAAAGAAAAAGAAAGGAAAGAAAGAACGAAAGAAAAACAAGAAAGACAAGAAAGAAGAAAGAAAAATAGAATGATTGGCAACACAGAGAAGGGAAAATACACTTGGTCCTCCTTGCCTGTGCCAGTTTGAATGTGATAATTATATAAACAATAAATCCAAGTTTACCTGGAAGTTAATAATTTCAACTATTTTGTAACATAATGTGCATTTCTAGATATTATGTCCCAATTTTGTTTTAACGAATACTCTTTTTCATAGAAATATTTAGAGGACTCCATGTAGCACAGCACGTTATTTAAGGACCTGCTTGTCCTTTATTTTGCTATTCAGAAGCAGCACAGCTCCATCTGTGAAGTAGGAGTAATAGTCTTGGCCATATTTTACCTTTCCATCTGGTCAGGGTGCCAGGGTTGTCTCATTTGTCTGATTTAGACCTCCATGAGCTGTCATAGGTCCACCTGAAAGAAACAATAGAGCTAAGCAATAACAGTGTGCTTGCTATGCAAACACAGCTTTGAGGTACATCCCCTGACCTTCCTTCCAATAAGATAGTGTCCTTTAAATGCTTCCTTAATAGGAATTCTGGAGCCACCACTGATATTCTTGCCATCACTGTCTTTCATATGCATGCCTCATCATCCTTTTCAGCCCTTGGCAGATACTGAAGATTGATTTACTCATCTGCACCAAAGCATCCCTAATAATATGTCTTTTGTCTTAAAGAGATCTTAAATACAAAGATGACATTGCATTTTCCCAGCTGGGGTTCAATACAGCACCTAGGTTATACTAAGAAGATGCTCTTACACAAAACTTATGCAGATGAGAACAATGTGCAGGGTTTGAGGGTCACACACACAGCAAGAGAATCTTCTGGGCAGCTGTCACAATGGGTCTGCTGTCTAGTTCCATCCTAGGTGGCAAGCTGTAGATGATAATGACAGTGAGTTTTCTCATGGGACAGTCTCGTGTTGCGCATTTATTCTGGCTGCAATTTTCTTGGCTATGAATGTAGATTTGCTTCTGGCCCTCTCAGAATTCTGTAAGATCTCATACTTTATAGGAAATTTGTTTCTGTTTTAATACAGAGTTGATTCTGTAGTCTGCAACAAAGGATTTCAGGAAATAGACTCAAGAAAATGTGAATCTATGATTGGTTATCCAACTCCATTTGGCTTTAAACCAGTGGAAACTGTCAACCTTAGAGAATGATATTCAGTAATAAAACAGATTTTTATTGTGGTTCCCTTGAGCATCCACTGGTGTTATAAGTGGCTGTTTGCTAGGTTACAGGTATGTGAAGGGTAAACATAACATATTGTTCAAACTAGGACAGTTTTGAAAGAGAAAGCAGGTGTTAATTCTCAACAGGCATAATAGGATGGTGCCAAGGAAACTGGGATAGATAGTCACTGTGGGTATGGACGGTACCCTGCAGGTTAGGCTGGCTCTTTCTAACTGTGCCCAATGGCTTATAGACTGGGAAATTTCCATGACTGATCTAAAGGGATCCCTTTCCTTTTCTGGCATGATGGAAAATCAGACACAGTTCAGATCCTGCAAACCGCTTACCTGCATTGCAAGTGAAATTCATAGCTTTGCCAGATCTCTTATATGAACACGAGAATATTGATTGCAAAACAAAGAACCCTGACAGGCTAAGAGCAGTGGCTCACACCTATAACCTCAGCACTTTGGGAAGTCAAGGCAGGAGGATCACGTGATACCAGGAGTTCAAGACCAGATTGAACAACGTAGTGAGACCCTCTCCATACAAAAACAATTGAAAAAAAAAAAATAGGTAAGGGTGGTGGTATGCACCTATAGTACTAGCTACTTAGGAGGCGAAAGCCAGGAGCATTGCTTGAGCCCAGGAATTTGAGGTTGCTGTGGGCTATGATCATGTCACTGCATTCCAGTCTGAGTGACAGAGTGAGAACTTGTCTCTAAAAATAAAATAAAATAGGCCAGACACAGCCTGTAATCCCAGTATTTTGGGAGGGTGAGGCAGATGGATCACTTGCGCCTCCTTCAAGTGATCCAGGCGTTTTGAAATCAGCCTGGGTAACACAGCAAGATCCTGTCTCTACAAACAACAACAACAAAAATTAGCTGGGCATGGTGGCATGAGCCACAGTCCTAGCTACTCAGGAGGCTGAGATGAGGCTGGAGGATCACTTGAGTTCAGAAATGTGAGGCTGTGGTAAGTTATGATTGTGCCACTGCATACCAGCCTGAGTGACAGAGTAAGACCTTGTTTCAAAAATAAAATTAAATTAAAAATATAAAAAAAGAAACGTTGAGAATAGAAATAGTAACTTTCAGTAAGATTTAAATTTTTAAGAACGTTGAACTCCCAAATTCTACTAAGCTTTTTCTTATTAGCAGAAGCAACCCCTGTGAGACGCAGCTATTCCTGCCTTGCACAGAAGACACTGTGGTAACTTCACCAGAAATAGTTGTCTTGCCAGGGGCTGTCAATTTGCCTCATTGCCTCTAGGCAATTAGGGACACATTCTGGCATATACCAGGGAACCCATTGTAAAGTCAAATCTGTGATAATAAAATTGCAAAAATGGTTTTGCCAACTTATGCAACAAAAGATTTGGGAGATTATGTGTAGTAATGGATTCTGGAGGCACTAGCCCAGGGAATGTGCTGTATAATTTTAGACTGGGGTGAATGAATGTTTTGGATATGGGTTCTCTTACCAGAGATTTTGGATTAAATGTGCTGGTTTGAGTGGCTGGAAGTGTTCCTAACAGTTTGCTCAGTTTGTTGATTAAAACTTGGATTCAACAGTGGCACACATTAAACGAAGTGGAGAGATCAGTCATTTCTTAGTATTAGAGAGTGAAAGAAGAGAAATGTAATAAATCATTGGGATGTAGAAATGGATTTATCATGTGTGAACTGCTCTCCCTCCCCGTAACTATTTTTTTCTGTAAAGGCCCAGAGGACACTCCCTTTGTCATAGCACTGAGGAATACATTGGGAACGTGGCATCCGCTCTTTTGAAAAGTGCCCTGGTGGCTGTCCTCTGTAGCCTACAGATGGAGGTAGATGTTACATTTGAAATAGAATGTTTAGTCTCCATAGAGATGCTGAGATCTTGGGGTGGCAGAGGGTGAGTAGCAGCCCAGTAACCTTAAAAGGCTGTTGGGCAGGAGTGTTAATCAGATTAGATTGTCTTTGTTAATCGTAAATTGATCTTTGACATATGTGGCTGGACAATCCACTGAGGTACCTTTTGTTCTGCATAATAATAACAATGTTGATGATATAATCTAGATCTGGTATAAAAAGCCTGACTCACACCATCATGGTAGATTCCCAGAGCCGAGTCTGGTCATAACTCAGATCCCTTGAGTGAGAAACAGACCGCTTAAGACAGGATCCTTGGTCCTTATGTCTGGCGTTGAGCATTGTTATGAACGATTGTATGCTTATCCATCAGGTCTTCATCTTTTTGCATCACTTCTGGTATGTTCTGATCTTCAGGTGAAGAACCCACACTATTCATATGAATACGTTTACTATAAACCCATTAGATATGTGGTGATTGCTCAGGAATTGTTAGCGCTGCAGAAACATAGCCTAAGAGCTATCTGTCTCCTTGGAGATCTGGAACAAAATGGCAAAAAAGTGATGTTTGACGCAAGTTGGAGTTGAAGGCAAAACGAAAGCATGGCAGAAGGAAACACATATGCAAAGTCTAGGCTCTGTCATGTATGGAGAACTATGAACACATGTGTGTGGGTAGGTATACAGAATGTGTTTAGAAGAGTTAAGAAAGAGAAGCTGGAGATGAAGAGAGAGACCAGATGCTTGTATTCACCTAAAGACTTAGAATCTTGACTTGAGGTAATTGAGAGGCCCTTAAGAGGATTTTGGAGGATTTAGAGCAAGACGATTACATGGTGTGGAAGTGTGAATAGAATAGAAAGAGAAGTGCTGATTAGGAGATTATTGCAATAGCTCAGGCAAAAAATATTAAGACCTGAACTAACACAGTGGGATGGAAGGTAGAAGCTAAAAGAGGTGTTAGGAGGTTGGCAATCAATTAGCAAATCACAAGTGAATGGCAGGTGTCTGATTTGGGGTTGTAAGGATGGTGGTGTCAGGCTCTGCGATCAGTGAGAAAACAGATGAGGGTGGGAGTGGCAGGGCCCTGGAGTCTGACAGTAGAGGTCCGAGTGGGCAGTTGGTTGTATGGATCTAGGGTAAAATAGAGCGATCTGAACCAGAAACAGAAATTAGAAATGTAGCAGATATTATCTGCATTTCACCCATATTGCTTTGCACTTACCATTTTGATGCATTCTGGCACATCTTTCCATTGCCAACAACTTCCTCAGGGGCTTCTCTAGCTATGGTCGTGGCAGGCTGGAAGGGTTAAGGAGCTAATGCTTTCTGGGAATAGCCCTCAACCATGATTCTCAGGGATTGTGTACGAAAGCAGCAACTCATTTGCCCTTTGCGTGGGATAACTCTAGAGTATGTTTTACGCTGTTCCCTGGAGGTCCCCAGCAGGACTAAGCTCTTTTTGCCTGCTGTGGAATCTTGCTTAATAATGTTTACTTTATGGGCTCCTTTCTCTTCCCTGTCTCACTTCCCATTCCCCTAATGGTGTTTCCAGGCATCACTACCAAAACAAACTATTTGCATCTGCATCCCTGTTTCAGGATCTACTTCTGGGGAAACCCAAACTCAGACATGTAGTAACGGGCATATGGGGAAAGTTGAAAATTAGGTGGTAGTGGTGATGAAGAAATAAATGAGATCACCCAAGAAGAAAGGATAGGTTGATAACCGACCCCTGGGGAACACTATCGTTTATGGAGTAGGATGAGAAAGACAAATCTGTAGACTTGGAGTAGGAGAAATCAGAGAGGAAGAGAGCAAACCAAAGAAGAGTCGTGTCCCAGAAATCAAAGGAAAAACAGGCTTTCAAGATGAAGG